CAGACAGTTTTGAATGAACTCTGAAATCTTTTTATTTACTTATGATTACAATTATTGTTGTCTTTCTAAAAAAAATTTTGAGTCTGGACTTACACTGTACTTTAAGAAATATGGACCTTGACAAAAAATAGACTACTGCTATATCTGTGAAATTAGTAGGTAGTATTTTATATCCCCTTTGTATGAGCCTAAATTACTAGACAGGAGGTCAGGCCATAGAGAAGCAGGTCCATGAAAACATATGGGTGCACACTAAACACAGCACCATATAAAAGTGATGGTTTCTAAGCAGCTGTGTGTAGCATTTATAGAGCTCTATCTTAAGCATTTAAAATGTAGTGGAAGCTAAGATGCATTGGACTTACTATTTTTAGTTTATTAAAACAATCCGTTACGTTTTTATTGTCTTCTGCTCTCTAACCTCCTTAGAGGTTTGTTATCCTACTTAGAGTGAAGAGAAAGGCAGCGTTCTACAATTTTTCTAGTTTCCCTATCTCTAGTGCAATCTGTCCACTTTATTTTTCAGCAGGTGCCCAATGAAAAAGCAGATGGGGGGGGAGGTAGGGGAGGGAAGGGTTTATGGTGGGGAATGCTGTTTTTCTTACCAATGAGTCTCTCAGCAGCCTTTTGAAGAAAAAAGTGGTTATTCAAGGCTTCAGTTTTTCTTTCTTTCCATAGGAAACTCCTCATCCCTCAGTTTAGCCATCTGAGGTCACTATATGCTACTACTTTCCTAACCCAGCCAAAATGATCATGCTGTGTTCCTTTTCTACGGTATTTAATGCCAAGATTTAGTAATGTTCTATCTGCTGATTTTTCCTTTGCCTTTTTTCTATGTCAGGACCCAATGTCAGGTAATGATATTTGAGTCACACTGTAAAACATTATCCAACAGTAAATTTTTTTTCTATTTTTACATATTATGTTTGCTGATCAACTGAAAAATAAAGAGCATGAACATTTAATCCTGTGAGACCTGGGAAACCCCCATTGATCCTACCTCTTTTCCTTTTCCTGTTGTGGAAGGGGTCCAAGAAAACTAGAAGTCAGATGCTTTGGCCTAAATTTTATCAGCATGAAGATTTAGAGTTTGTTTCATTTCCTTAGTCCTTCATGCTCACAAAACCCCCTCAGTCTTTGCACATTTAGATCACTGCTGTTATAGCATTATCAGTGAGATCTGGGCAGAGCTGTTCTGCTGAATAATTCTTTGACAAGTCTTGTCTTATTCCATTTTAACAAGCTCCTCTATGTTCCCCCATAACATGAGTTTATACTTGGTGCACAGTTAGAAAACCATCTGGGGCTCACCTCCTAAGAGAGAGGGTCAGAAAGGAGCACTGAGGTGCTTGGTTTCTGCATGAGGGCACCAGCTTTCAATAGATGTCCCCAGATTTGTAGGTTTTTACTGAGTGATCTTGAAACATACACGGGTCTGAAATAGGGATGTTAAAGACTAGTCTACTATCCGAAAAACATTTGCTTATAGGATAGTCTTTTGCCTAGTCAATTACCCCCCACCCCCTTTGCTGCCTCTATATGCCCCAAGGTGGCATTTCAAAGGGGCAGCCATAGCACAGCTGATCTGTGGATCAGCTGTGCGGCAGCTGGCCCTTTAAAACACTGCCTCCGTGCATTTCAAAGGGGCAGCAGTGGAGCCAGGGGTCAACTGGGGACTCCCCAGCTGATCCCAGGATCTGCGCAGCATTTTCCCAGAACCTGGGGTCAGTTGCAGAGTCCCCAGCTGACCCCGGGTTCCACTGCCTTGGGGAGCCCAGGATCAGCTGGGAGTCTCCAGCTGACTCCAGGTTCCCTGGCTGTGCAGAGTTCAGGATCAGCAGAGTGTCCCCAGCTGACCCTGGGCTCCATTGCAGCTCCACAGCAGGAGTCCTGGGTCTGCTGAGGACTCCCCAGCTGATCCCGGGCTCCCCATGGCATTTCCCCAGAGCCGGGTTCTATGCGAATCAGCTGTGTGGCAGTTGCCCCTTTAAAACGCTGCCTCTGGCGTTTGAAAGGGGCAACTTCCACACAGCTGATCCACACAGAAACCGGCTTCTGGGGAAATGCCATGGGGAGCCTGGGGTCAGCTGTGGAGTCCTCAGCAGACCCCAGACTCCTACTGGCATGCAGCACAGCATGGAACCGGGGGTCAGTGGGAGACTCTGATTCCCCCGCTGACCTCAGGCTCCATGGCTTTGAAATGCCCAAGATCCCATGCTGGGGACTCTCTTGTATTTCAAAGAAGGCACCCCCGTGCAGCCCGGAGTCAGCGCCACTTCCTGCTGGCCCCGGGCTGTATGCGGAGTTCTACATTCCTCCTTTTAAATGTACAAGAGCCCAGTGGGGCTCTTCTACATTTAAAAGGAGTTATGTAGCAGTTCCTATTGACTAGTTGATGGAATTTCCATCCACTAGTCGACTATTCAATTAATTGCATTTTAACATCCTTAGTCTGAGGGTCATCCATGCATCCACAACAATAGGGGTGTAGGTACAGGCAGTCCCCGACTTACACGGATCCGACTTATGTCGGATCCGCACTTACGAACGGGGCTTTCTCGCCCCGGAGGTCGAGGTAGCGGATTGCTACCTGCAAGCTCCGGGGCGAGAGAGCCCCGTTCGTAAGCTGCTCCGGTGCCCCTGGTCTGCTGGAGACCGTCTCCAGCAGACCAGGGGCAC